GAGTTTTCTATAGACCCCCCAGTAGCAACAGAGACACTGAGGGATAGATTGGGAGACAGATTTTGAAAAGGTGCAGAAGTAATAGGGTTGTCGTCATGGGTGATTTCAACTTCCCTAATATAGACTGGACCCTCCTAAGTGCAAATAGTTTGGATGGAGCAGTTTTTGTCAGGTGTGTCCAGGAGAGATTTCGGACTCAATATGTAGATAGGCCAACTAGAAGAGAGGCCATATTGGATTTGGTGCTTGGCAATGAACCAGGCCAAATGTCAGATCTCTCAGTGGGAGAGCATTTCGGTGATAGTGATCTCAACTCCCGGACCTTTACTATAGTCATGGAGAGGAATAGGAGCAGACAGTATGGGAAAGTATTTAATTGGGGGAGGGGGAATTACAATGCTATTAGGCCAGCACTGCGGAGCATAAATTGGGATCAGATGTTCTCAGGGAAATGCACGACAGAAATGTGGAGGTTTTTTAGGGAGCAGTTGCTACAGGTACTGCTACAGAGTTGCTACAGTGGTTTGTACCACTGAGGCAAGGAAAGGATGGTAAGGTGAAGGAACCTTGGATGACAAGACATGTGGAATACCTAGTTAAGAGAAAGAAGGAAGCTTACTTAAGGTTGAGAAAGCAAGGATCGGACAGGGCTCTAGAGGTCTACATGGTAGCCAGGAAGGAACTGAAGAATGGACTTAGGAGACCTAGAAGGGGTTATGAGAAAACCTTGGCAGGTAGGATCAAGGAAAACCCCAAGGCGTTCTGTGCTTATGTGAGGAACAAGAGAATGGCCAGAGTGAGGGTAGAGCCAATCAGGGATAGTGGAGGGAACTTGTGTGCAGAGTCACAAGAGGTAAGGGAGGTCCTTAATGAATACTTTGCTTCAGTATTCACCAGTGAGAGGGACCTTGACATTTGTGAGGACAGCATGAAACAGGCAGCTATGCTCGAACAGGTTGATGTTAGGAAGGAGGATGTGCTACAAATTTTGAAAAACATGAGGATAGATAAATCCCCTTGGCCAGATAGGATATACACAAGGTTTTTTTGGGAAGAGGTTGCTGCCCCTTTGGCAATGATCTTTTCGTCCTCATTGCCCACTGGAGTAGTACCAGAAGATTGGAGGGTGGCACACATCATTCCCTTGTTCAAGAAAGGGAATAGGGATAATCCTGGAAATTACAGACTGGTCAGTCTTACTTTTGTGGTGGGGAAATTATTGGAGAGTATTCTGAGAGATAGTATTTATGATTATTTGAAAAAGCACAGTTTGATTAGAAATAGTCAGCATGGCTTTGTGAGGGGCAGGTCATGCCTCACAAGCCTTATTGAAATCTTTGAGGATGTGACAAAACACATCGATGAAGGTAAAGCAATGGATGTGGTATATATGGATTTTAGCAAGGCATTTGATAAGGTTCCACATGGTAGGCTCATTCAGAAAGTAAGGAGGCATGGGATTAAGGGATATTTGGCTGACTGGATACAAAACTGGCTGTCCAATAGAAGACAGAGCGTGGTAGTAGATGGAAAGTATTCAGCCTGCAGCTCAGTGACCAGTGGTGTTCAGCAGGGATCTGTTCTGGGACCTCTGCTCTTTGTGATCTTTATAAATGATTTGGATAAGGAATTGGAAGGGTGGGTTAGTAAGTTTGCCGATGACACGAAGGTTGGTGGAGTTGTGGACAGCATGGAGGGCTTTTGTAGGTTGCAGCGGGACATTGACAGGATTCAGAGCTTATCAAAGAAGTGGCGGATGGAATTCAACCCTGAAAAGTGTGAAGTGATTCATTTTGGAAGATCGAATTTGAATGCAGAATACAGGGTTAACGGCAGGATTCTTGGCATTGTGGCGAAACAGAGGGATCTTGGGGTCCACGTCAGTAAAGAAGGTGTACGGTGTATTGGCTTTCATTGGCAGGGGAATTGAGTTTAAGAGGTAATGCTGCAGCTCTATAAAACTCTGGTTAGACCACACTTGGAATATTGTGTTCAGTTCTGGTCACCTCATTATAGGAAAGATGTGGAAGCTTTAGAGAGGGTGCAGAGGAGATTTACCAGGATACTGCCTGGACTGGAGGGCAGGTCTTGTGAGGAAAGGTTGAGGGAGCTAGGGCTTTTCTCATTGGAGCGAAGAAGGATGAGGGGTGACTTGATAGAGGTGTACAAGATGATGAGAGGCATAGATAGAGTGGATAGTCAAAGACTCTTTCCCAGGGTGGAAATGACTATTACGAGGGGGCATAATTTTAAGGTGATTGGAGGAAGGTATAGGGGAGGTGTCAGAGGTAGGTTCTTGACACAGAGAGTGGTGGGCGTGTGGAATGCGCTGCCGGCAGCGGTAGTGGAGTCAGATACTTTAGAGACTTTTAAGCGACTCTTGGATAGGCACATGGAGGATAGTAAAATGTAGGGTATGCAGGGTAGTTTGATCTTAGTAGGATAATAGGTCGGCACAACATCGTGGGCCGAAGGGCCTGTACTGTTCTATGTTCCATGTTCTATGTTTGTAGATTCCTCCAACTTTTGTGTCAATTTGTCCCGTGCCTCCGACAAACTTGCCTGTTGGCTTTTGTGTATAGCTGTGCATTTGGATGACATTATGAACGGCCAATTGCATCGGGTTTCCTCCTGACTGGGGCTAAGCAGGTACCTGGTCTCCAGAAGTCCTCTGAGTACTAACAACCTGGGGCATTTCTTCTCTGCTGTTTATGGAGCTGTGGCGCCAGAATGTGGTCTCAACTCTAATTTACACAATATATCAACCAAAATGTCAGTATATAAACTGGTAGAGGTACCTTGCCATACACTCTCTGTGAGATTTGTACCTCTTCCCCAGAGGTGGAGGAATGTGCTGATGCCACTGGTGCCTACAAGAGACAAAAGAGAGAATGAATTGCATAATGTGGGTAGAGGCTTGCATGTTTATATTACATTCACAGTGGTAGTAATGGAAGAGCAGCACAGTACTTAACAATGATTGTTACTTGGGTGAGGGGATATGGAGATCTTGACTTCAACACATGGGCCAGCCTTTAACCTTTCCTACTAAGGTAAGGATCCTGTCTCATAGGGGCTGAGGACGTGAATGCTGGGCACCATATCACCTGTGTTGGCCTTCTCACCCAATAGTCGTCTGTTTTCTCCTGGAACGAAACAACAGGTTGAATCGGGTGAGATGCATAAGGTTGGCACAGCCGTTAATGCTGGTGCTGTTGGGGCAAGTATGGTGAGATGTACCAGGTGACTGAATAGACAACATAGAAGCCTTAGTGTGAGGGGTTCAGGTGAGTGAGAACGAGTGAGGGAAGATGTTGCATGCAATAGTGACAAAGGTAGACCTTGAGCCTTGGTGGGAGCTGAGTGCAGTAGCAAAGTTAGAGTGAATGTGAGGCTACATAGAGAAAATGCTGGCATTTACCCTTGTGAAGCAGAGAAAGTCATTAACTTGTAGCAGTGCTGAACACTTCTCCTCGCATTGACATTGGTGACAAATTCAGACCAGGTTGGTACGACTTGTGTCGTGTCTCCTTTGCTGGTCCTGAACAAAGAGGACAAACTTCCTCTGCACCACCTCATTAACCAGGACCTCCAGGTCCCTGTCGGCAAAGCAGAGAATTTCCATTTCTTTGTCATCATTGGGGCAATTTACACATGGGAAATGTAAAGGACAGCTCCTGAATGACAGCACAAGACCCTGTGCACAGCTTAGTTTTAAAATTGACACTGGGAATCTCAGGACAGCCTCGCAGTAGCAAGTACTTCTCCTGCTGATTGGTACACGTGGGTTCCAATAGAGGTGTGGTACATAGCTAATTAAGCAAGCTGCGGAAAGTAGTGTGAGAAAACTTGCTAGAGCTCTCAAAGAGAAACTCTTCGTACAACACCCTGAAATTGACATTTGGCTGATTTTTGGTAAAATCCATCCCCTTGATTCTAAACTTAAAAGCATAGTTTTAATTTATTTCCTTAGAAATTATAGTTCTGGTGAATGTGTGCTGTAGCCCCTGTAATCCATCTTTTCAAAACTAAATCCACTACTCTAAAAAAGATCTGACCAATGCTTTGTGTAACTGAAATATCAATTCTTTATTTTTGTATTCCAACCCCATTGAGAAAAGGGCCAACATTCTGTTAGGAGATAGCAAGATCTGCAGATGCTGGAAGTCAGAGTCGATACAGTGTGGAACTGGAGGAACACAGTAGGTCAGGCAGCATCAGAGGACCAGGAAAGTCGACATTTCAGGTCGGCACCCTTCATCAGAACATTCTGTTACAGATTTTTACTACTACTTGTACTTAGACACTAGCTTTAAATGGTTTAAACTTACAGACACCCAAAATCCTTTGCTTCTCCAAGAAAGTATTCTGATTTGTCTTTCTCATATACAGACTGATTGAGTTACTTTCATTATGCTGAACTCCGTCTACTATTTGGTCTGCATTTATTTCTTTGCAACTATCTTCAAAATATCAACAAAAATCACTACGTTTTGCGCTTAAAAATGAATTTTGTTTTCTATTCAGCAATGAACTAGTAGTGAAGGACAGTCTGATTTAACAAAGGGATTCTCAGTTGTATGCCTCAGGTGAGGGGAGAATCCTGTATGCTAACCTCAGCTGGTGCGGAAATTGAAATTGAACCCATGCTGTTCATGTTACTCCGTATCACAGACCAATTGTCCAGCCAACTGAGATAACCAACCCTAATTTTAGTGCAATAATAAGTAGTTGAAGGTATAATTATTAAGACCACATACCTCAGATCTCATGCCATAAGGTACTTGTAACTTAGATTGACAATACTTTTCCCAAGTTATAAATTGAATTTTGTGTAATACTTAAGTAAATTAGTTGCATTGAATCAGTACATAGAATGATGCTGCAATATTTCAACTTGGCCATTTACATTTCACAGATGGGGGGCACAATCTGACTGTTCTTTTACTTGGGTCTATTAGTTAAATTGTGTACACTGATGATTTAATTATTTTTTGCAGGGGACAAAAGGTTCAAAAGGATCAAAAGGAGAGGTAGGCTGCCAAAAGAGGCTACCAAAGGAATTCTTCGTTTTTTAAATGTTATAAATATTATAAAATTACAATACAATCTGTGTTATTTTTTTCATCTTTTTCTTCTAGCCTGGAGAACCTGGAGCATCAGGCACTGCAGGCATAAGAGGTCAAAAGGGTGAACCTGGTTTACCTGGCAGACCTGGGAATCCAGGGCCCAAAGGAAACAATGGACTTCCAGGACCACCAGGTCCAGAAGGAATTTCTGTAGGGATGCATCTGATTTTATTTAGATATGATTTATTGTTTAGTATGCTCTTACTCATTCCTAATTCCAAACTGTTTTAATAGGGAAAAGTCATTTCAGATGAATACATCCGACAGGTTTGCATGGATGTGCTAAGAAGTGAGTATAAGGTTTAATTGTTCCAAACTTAAAATAATCTAAAGTTAGTTAAAATGTTCATAATAAAGAAAATTTTGTATTAATGCTAATTTTATTAAGAAAGAATTCAGTGCTGGATTTTCTGGTTGAAATGTATAAGGAGACATAATTGGACAAGAATTAAGGATTTCACTTATATGGAGGCATTAGAATAAAATAAATTGTCCTCCATCAAGCAGAAAAAGTTAGGGGAAGATCTATGAGTGGTGTTCAAAATCATAAACTTTTTTAATAGATTACAGAAGATGAAACGATTGACTGGTAGATAGATCGCTAACCAGAGGAGACAGATTTTAGATAATTGTTGGAAGAACCGGACAGCAGTGAGTTCTTTATAATGCAATGAGTTATGATCTAAAAGGGTGATGGAAACAGAATTAATAATAATTTTCTGAAGGAAATTAGATGAATACTTTGAGCAGATATTTTGTACTTGACAGTGAGAAAACAGCAAAAAAACTTAAGTATTTTGTCTTAGTGGAGAAAAGTAAAAGTGGGATTGTAGAATTAATTAAAGAGGATGAATAGCAGCTATAATTGGATGTAAATATTCAAACTATGTTAAAAATGTTAATGGGGCTAAAAGTATAAGAATTGCTGGGACAAGGTGGTATACATCTCAGCCTACTCTGTAACAAGTTGTGTAGGGGAATGTAGAGATAAAGAACATAATTTTCAAGGAATTTCTGGGAACAGGAATTGTGCCAAATGGCAGATATTAGATCCTCTAAAATATGAAGGGTAAAAAAGGCTAATCTAGAAAATGGTAAGGTAGTTTGATCCTGTTGGTTGTGGTTCTATAATATTTTTTATGTAATTCCAGAGGAAATAGTAAAATAATGGCAATATTGCTCGGCTTGTAATCAGAAGCTTAGACTAGTGCTCTGGGGACTTGAGTTTGAATTTCACCACAGCAGCCAATGGATATTTAGTATCAGTTAGTAAATCTGGTATTGAAAGCTAGTCTCAGACTTAACAACTAACATCAGTTGTTTTAAAAGCCACTAAGTTCACTAATGCCATTTAGAGAAGGTAATCTGCCTCCTTGTTTCCTTGGCCAATGTGTAATTCCAAATCCACAATAGCATGGTTGACTCTTAACTGCTCTCTGAAATGACCTAGCAAGCTGCTCAGTTCAAGAAAATAAGAAATGGGCAACAAATGCTTTTCCTGAGATGCCTGCATTCCATGAAAGAATTTTTTTTTAATGAGTATAAGCACTAGGCATGAGTTAATCAGGGTAAATCATCATAGATTCGTAAAGGGTTGATCATGCTTGATGAATGTAATTGCATTTTTGAGGAAATCATAACATTCACAAGTCATTTAAATTTGGTGAATTTCGTCAATGTGGAGTTGCAGAAAGAAAAATAAGAAAATTAATTCATGTAATATCTTTCATCACCTCAGGATATCCCAAAGCTAGTGAAGTACACCATTTTTTTGCTGCTGACTAGTCACAGAAATTAGCCCTTTTATAGCAGTCCCTTATGGCTAGATAATAATTAGCTGCAACTGATAGGCAGTTTCTGATAAGTGATGAATAATTTTCAGTTTCTTTACAGTTCTTAGAGCTCTAAGTTCAAAAAGTTAAACTAAAAGTCAAATTTCAGTTAGAACTACTAGTACAACCTACCAGAGATTCCAATTTGGACCAACTTCCCAACCTTTAGACTATTTTTACACAGCATTTTGTTCTGACCACTAATAAGCTAACAACAAATTAATTACAGTTAACCTGTGTTGTTTGTTGAGGGAAGAATGTTGACCAGAATATCAAGAAAATCCTTTTTTTTTTGTGGATAGTGCCGTTGGATTCTTTTAAGCACAACTCAGTAGACAGACTGTACCTCTGTCCATACAGATGTCCCTCAGTACTGCACTAAAGCGTTCTTAGAATCCCTACAGTGTGGAAACAGGCCTTTCGGCCCATCAAGTCCACACCGACCTTCAGAGCATCCCACCCAGACCCATCCCCCTATAACCCACCTAACCTCCACATCCCTGAACACTATGGGCAATTTAGCATGGCCAATCCACCTAGCCTGCACATCTTTGGACTGTAGGAGGAAACCGGAGCACCTAGAGGAAACCCACACAGATGCAGAGAGAATGTGCAACCTCCACACAGACAGTTGCCCAAGGATGGAATCGAAAATGGCCCTGGTGCTGTGAGGCAGCAGTGTTAACCTCTGAGCCACTGTGCCACTCTGACATTGCTTGTCTTTTTTCTGTGCTTAATTCAATACTCATACCTAAAGCTACAGCCTTTGAACTTGGACAAATCTGGTACTTACTAAGCCAAAGTGACATTAAGACAGAAATTCTAAAGTAATTTTAGTTCAGTGATGCTAAAGATAATCACACATATACACATTAACTTGGTGATTCCATGATATCACAATCTGAATGGTGAACGGCTCCATACGAAGCAAGGTTGGGATAAAAGGAGCCAATATTGTATACATTTCCCAATCTACACTCTTCAGTTCCCCTTTGGAGCACAGGATCACACAATCACCTCTCTGTATACTATAAAAGTGTATGTGTATCAACATTACTATTTGATTTAATTCTTGATTCTTCATTTCCATTCCATATTATTAATCATATTAGCCCAGTTGCCTTCGGTTTTGCGTGACAAAAGGAACGAAAACTGTTGGCATTGTCAGATACGCAATGGTTCACCAGGACCAGCAGGACCACCAGGACCACCAGGACCTCCTGGACTTCAAGGTCCACCTGGATTCCCAGGTTTGGATGGTGAACAAGGTCAACCAGGTCATTCGGGTTCACCTGGTCTTCCAGGTATTCAAGGACTCATGGGTGAGTTTGACAAAAATGTTGGAATTCAATTTAAGATAAAACTCATTATTCATATGCATCACTTTCATTTTTCTTTGGTTCACATTTCATGAATAAATTGTCATATTTCAATCTGCTTTTTCCTTCAAAATGAATTAAAAATGCAAATTGGATATTATTACAAACGAAGAACTATTGGTTATTGACAGAACGAACTAGATCACAAGCATAAAATAAAACATAAACTACGTTTGCTAGAAATCTGAAACAGAAACTGTATTGCTGAAGAAACTCAGCAGGCCTAGTAGCATCTGTGGAGAGAAAGCAGAGTGAAGAGTTTGAGTCCAGTGACTCTTCTTCAGATCACAAGACTACCTTTTAAATGTGTCATCCATTTTAAAAATAGCAGAGAGATTAAAGTAATCCTGTGTCTTGATGATTATAATTTACATTGCACAGAATTGTGGTCAATAGCACAGAAACAACTGCTCTATGCCAGTGTTTACAAGCCTTCACACATCATAATTCATTTAACTAGCAACGTATTTTTCTATATTTTCCTCCCTCAAGATCTTACCTAGTTCACTCTTCTCTGGCTCCTCACCTTACCTCTTGCTTATGGAATGATTACCCTAAAGCTGTTCACCACCACTTGTCTCTCTCAAATGGAAAGAGATGCCTATGGTCCTTTATGGCCTATGAGTCCTTACCTACAATGTCATTATATTTTTCCATCTTCAAAACAATACAATGTTAAGTTATGCTGAACTTTACAAGAACAGTCACACATAAGTACATTTGTTTTTCAACTTGGATGAAAATGGAATTTGCATATAAGTAGCATTACAACACATTGATAGTAAACCAAACCAAATCAGCCAGAGAACAGCAAATTTACAATATTCAATTACCCTAAAAACTGCCCAATTGTTCCTAACAGATTTTACAAACAACAGATCTTAGACACTAAGTTTATAACTTAAACAAAACTTAACAATTTAATGTTAATATTGTAACTTTAGCAGGACTAGGCCGCCCCACAAAGTAGTCTAAGTTATATCTATGATTTAAACCCAACCTTCCTTGATCACAAGCCCCCACACACATGCACACAGACAAACAGACACAGTTAAGATTAAATTGAAAACTTAATTTGCCAGCTCAATTAAGCAGTTTCAGATGATGGGTGCCAAGACTTCATGCTATTCTTGGACAATAAGTTGTTCACAGGCATGACTATATGTCTAATTTTTCTGCTTCACTTATTACTTTAGAATTACAAGTTGGAAGTGACCTGAGTGCAAACGTTTCAGTGGTAAACTCTTCCTTTTGTGCACAATTTGCCTCTTAACATCTGTGAGAGGAGATCTGCACCATGATATAGTAAAACACTTGGGTTCTGAAGAAAAGTCATATTGGACTTGAAACGTTAACTCTGTTTCTGTCTCCACAGATGCTGCTAGACCTGCTGAGTTTGTCTAGCACTTTTTTGTTAAAGATTTCCAGCATCTACAATATTTTTCTTCTATTGTAAGATGCAAGACATTTCTTCTTAGGGTTTCTCTGAATACTTTTCTAAACCATAGAATAGGACAACACTAGAGGCTGAATTTTCCCATTCTTTGGACAAATTTATTTTTGGTGAGATTCTTGGTGGATGGTCCACCATGGCCCATGCAGATTTTTCACATACAATTTTCTGCTTTGCAGTGCATTAATTACACATCTCATAGAATCGTGTGACAGGACAGGCAAAAGTACTAGGCGCTTTGCAAAGTTCACGCTGCTGGCACAATATTTAAATCTCCACTGCCCTTCACACTGTTGTCCTGGACTGTTATCCCCATGGAAATGGCCTGTGGATGGGGTGGTGGAAAGGAGGGCTGTGTTTTCTCCTGCTGACTAACAAAGGTGGCTATGCCACCAGACTCAAATAGCTTGGACCAATGTGGCAGCTGGGTCAGTGGAATATCCCAAATAAAACTCAAGGCAGTTAATGATCCCCTAAGCCTTCGTCTTCCTCGGTTACCTCATGCTCAGTGGGCCACCACTCACTCTTAAGTCTGCAACGGCACACATCTCTTATGAAAGCCTATAGACTACAATTCCCTGTACTCCATGCATTATGTCCACTCAATATCTCTGACCCAACTTATCCTTAACCCTTCCTGCTCTCTGCACTTCCTCCGCACTCACTGAGGACACCTTACCTCTTCTCCTGCTCAGATGAGGCAAAGTAACTGGTCTTCCATCCATTTCAATCATACTAAAGCCCTGCCTTTGTCTCATTGCAAAAAAAGTGGCCTACCTCCTTGACTGTTCGTTGGTCCAAACTGTGACAGACTGCCTGCCACTCCTCTGCATTAAAAAAAACATGCTTTTGAAAAGTAGACAGCTTTCAAGTAAAGTGAATGAGTGCTAAGAAAACAGAGAATAATTAATGTAGTCTGCTAACCAACATTCCCACCAAGCTGTGTACACACACAGCCGCTCCAAGGTTCTGTGCACAGCAGTCAGCAACAGCATAGTGATCACGACATTGACTTCCTGTTCTGAAGGTTGCTGCTACATATGGACCTTGCAGTCCCATATAGGAAGAAAGAAAATTAGAGGGAATGCTGCTACTGACACCCACAAAACACTCTCAGTTAACATGTGCAAATTGTGCATGGCAGTACCCCCACCAGTACTGCTTGTGACATCTTTCTGTTCCATTCATTCATATTTATTTTACATATTTGGTCTCTGCCCTATTTTTACTGGCAGAGCATTTCACAAAATGTGCATATGTAATGTGAATCATTTGGATGTGTCAAGAGACACAGCCAAGAAAGTAAGTCAAGAGCATAGGAAGCATCCTGTGTAGATTCATGAGATACATGTGTGTCCCTGTGGACAAAGTGAAGCATGTTGGTCATAATTGTCCCTTCACTCCAAAGTGAAGTCCTGAAGGGCTGAAGTAGTGTGTGAGTTGATCCTGACGCAGCCGTGGTTTTGTAGTGAGGCTGGTAGTTTGGCAATGCCCGCTTGCCTGGAGGAAGAGAGTGGTGTCCCTGAAGCATTCAGGGAATTGCTGATGAAGGTGAAGTTTTCTGAGGATCCAAAGAAGCAAACTGTGAGCTACTGCCACCGGATAATTACTCTGACTTTCATGTCGGGAATTGGCACCCTCTTGTTTCTCATGAAAGAGAGGCGGGTTGGGAGCTGCATAGAAATGAGACAAAATTAGCTAACAATTAAATGTAAATAATTAGTGAAATTCAGAGTTCTTGGTTTAAACCTTGAGAGGAATCTCCAACAGCAAGAATCTGATTTGTCAACTTCACTGTTTTTTCGACTTTCTTGCCATTGTCCATACTGCTCAAGGCATAGAGAATTCCAACCAAGGTGACTGAGATACGCTGATAAGAAAGAAGGAGCTTGCATTTATACAGTATCTTGCACGTCCTCAGAATGAACTTAAGTGCTTTACAGCCATTGAAATAATTTTGAAGTGTAATCGAGGTATAATATAGAATTGCGTTGTCTCTCTCGTTTAATTTAGGATATAAAATAACTTATAAAAATCAATAGAAATAGTCTAATGTGGAATAGTTTCATTTGGCCGCAGCTAGTTATTGCTGACTTTTTTTGCTTAGGTTACACAGTTTGGAGGTGTTGAAAATCTGAATAAACATCTAATGCACTCCTGTCACATGAGCCAGTTGGTTGAGGGTGGAAATTACAGGAAATTAGATAAATTAAGTTTCTATCTCACAGGAGGTGCCATTAAGGTGAGGAGAGACTCACCGCTCAGAAGTTTCCACATTTCAGATCTGAGAATTCCCTAGTAAAGCCAGTAAACATAATGGTTACATAATGGTAAAATGGCCAGCAGATATGAAGGCTAAACTGGGGAACCAGATACCCTGATTCCCTGAAATGTTTTCACATCTTGTGCCAACTTTCAGTCACTTTTATAAGGACTAGGAGAGTGTTGATGGAGATATTTATTATGCCTTTAAGGATAATTGAGGGTAGGATTCCAGCATCCGCCTTACTCCTTCCTCAACATGGTCATCCTTTACCAGGATTACCAGAATGGTGTACATGCAAACTTGAATGATATAAGGTCACATCCCAAAGAATCTGTAACCAAAAGAATAGATGGTAGTTGGAAAGAGCACAGGAGACTCAGCAACTCCTGTACAACCATGAAGTGTGACGCTTCTTCAACTCAATCAAAGCCATCTATGGTCCAAGTGCCCAGGGATCTACTCCACTGAGAACCAAACATGGAGAGTCGCTCATCAAAGACCAATAGGCAGTCAACACCCACTGGACAGAGCAGTTTGAGGATGTCTTCAACCAAGACACAGTCCTCAACGCAGGTGCTCTCAACACCATTCCGCAACATACCATCCATCACTGTTGACACACCTCCAACCTCGAGAGGTTGAGAAAGTTATCTGACAGCTGAGAAACAACAAGGCCTACAGCCCAGCTGGAATCCTCACTGAAGTACTTAAATAAAGCAGAAGGCCACTCTTGTCACAAATCAACATCCTCATCACCTTGGTCTGGAAGGAAGAGGGCCTACTGGGACATCTCAGAGATGTTGTAATTATAACCATCTTCAAGAAAGGAAACAGGTTCAACTGTGGAATTTACAGAGATTTCACTACTGTCCACTACAGGAAAGGACATTGTGAGAATCCTCCTCAAATGTCTGCATCCAGTGGTTGAAGAGCTCCTACTAGAGTCTCGATGCAGCTTTTCCCCATCAAGAGACATGATTTTCAGAGCACGACAAATCCAAGAAACATGCAGGGAGCAGCACTGACCTCTGTGTACAACCTTTTTCAATCTCTCAAATTGGGTTGCCCGCAGAAATTCATTACCATTCTCTGCCTGCTTCATGACGACGTGCAAGCTGTGAACCTCACCAACGATCCACCACGAACCCAATAAAAGTTCAAACTGGAGCTAACCCACAGGACAAGTGAGAAACTGTTCAACCTTTCATGCCTTCTGGCCAGAACCTAGACCACCTCAGCCTCTGTCATCAAGCTGCTGTACATAGTCAACATCTGCATGTGCACACACTCAAAGGCCAAGCTACGAACCATCATCGATGCATTCACCAAAGCATATGAGAGAATGGGCCTTGGACTAAATATTCGAAAAGCAGAGGTTCTCTACCAGCGCGTGCCTGCTACACAACACTGCCTGCCCCCCCAACCATCAAAATCCACAGTGAGTCATTGGACAAAATGGATCATTTTCCATATCTCAGAAGCCTCCTCTCAGTGCAAACAGATGTTGACAATAAAATGCAACATCGATTTCAATGCGCGAGTCTAGCCTTCAGATGCCTGAGGAGCAGAGTGTTCGAAGTCTGACACCACAACCCAGCTAATCATCTACAGAGCAGCCATGGTCCCACCCACTTAAATTCATCAGACACATGGACCATGTACAGCAGACACCTCAAATCCCTGGTGAGTTATCATCAGCTCTGCCTTCAGAAAATTTTGCAAATCCACTGGCAGAATAGGCACACCAATGTGAGTGTCCTCTCCCAAGCCAATATCCCTAGTATCAAGGCAATAGCTACCTACGATTAGGTGCAAATGGTGGGCCGTATTGTCTGCATGCTTGACACAAGACTCTACTCTGAGCTCCGCAATGGTATGCAATCACTAGGAAGACGGGAAACACTACAAGCACACTCTAAAAGCCTGCCTAAACAAATGCAACCTTCCTACCAATACATGGGAATCGCTTGTCTTTGAATGCATAAACTGGAGAAGAAGCATCCATGTAAGCATCATCAAGTGGAGCACGTGGAAGCCAAATGCAAGCAGAACAGAACAGAGTATTTAAATGAAGAAAAGACTGCAGAAAACTGCAACACAAAGGGACTTGGGTGTACACGAAACTTAGAATGCTAGCACACGAGTGCAGCAGGTAGTCAGGAAGGTTAATGAATGTTGGCCCTTATTTAAAGGGGATTAGAGTATAAGAGTAGGGAAGCCTTACTGCAACTGTACAAGAGACTGGTGAGACCACATCTGGAGTGCAGTCAGCAGTTTTGGTACCCTTAAAGACAGCTATTGTTTCATTGGAGTCAGTTCAGAGAAGGTTCACTAGGATGATACCTGGTATCTTCTTATGAGCAAAGGTTAAACAGGTTGTGACTCTACTCATTTGATCTCTTTGAAACATATAGGATTCTTAAGGCATTTGACAGGGTAAGTGGTGAAAGAATATTTCCCCTCAGAACCTAGGAACAGAGCTCCTCAGGAGATACTGGGGAAGCATGTTAGTATCTGCACAATATATGCCACTACTCAGGCTAGCACAGTTCAGTTATTCCCATGATTAATTGTTCTGAAAATCATAAATCAGTCGGCCAACTTATTCCAATTGCAACCAGTGCTTCCAATACCCATTTTTAGCCACTAACAGTCCTCATTAGCAGCTATTCATTCTCCCAGGCCTTAGCTTGCCCAACAGTTCTTTTTTGTACCTGGGCTCCATCTCCCTCTTTATTCTTTCTCCCTCCCCCCACCTCTTCTCTAGTATATATACCAACCCTTTTCTAGCTACAATCAGTTCTTAAGAAGAGTCACTGGACCTGAAACATTAACTGTTTTCTGTCCACAGATGCTGCCAGATCTGTTGAGTTTTTTCAGTGATTTGCGATTTTGTTTCTGATCTCCAGCATCCGCAGATCCTTGAGGTTTTTTTCTTCTAATACCCTATCCCATTTTTGTCTACAAAGGAATACATATTATTTATTATGATGACATCATAAGGTCCCTTCCATTTTGGCACAAATTCTCACTTTCTACACTAGATACTTCAACCTGTTCTGCTCCTGCCTTGTCATGTATGATCTGCTGATCCCTAAGTTCTTGTCTCAATCTATTCAGCTGCTTGCACAACCTTCTTACAAGTCATTTAACTCTTTCTCTTATGGGTCCTACTTCCTCAGTACCAATCATAACATTCCCTGGCAATCTCTTTGTCCATTAACTCATATGCAGTTCACCCATTTGTTCTACAGTGTGGTGCCCTGAATGCCATTAGGCTACTGGATAACAAATCTGCCCATCCCTGCTATCTCCTGGCTGGCTTTAGAAAATGATAGCTTTCTCTCTCGCACTTATGTCTTATTCTAGACATTAGCCAGTCTCCAGCATGGTCTAAGTTTCCCAATCTGTGCAGTTTCAACAGACCTTCTTTGCTAGCATCTCATGAGTGTCTGACCTACTGCACAGCTTTGGCTATCTATTCCCACAAGTCCAGTTCTACCTCTTCACCCAGTTCCTCCTGTTCTAAGCCTTCCTTCACATTCTTTAGATCTCACCCATATCTATCTAATATGGCTCTGTTTCCTGACTATGCATGGTAAATTAAAATATACTCACCTGAATGCTGTTCTGGAGATTTGACACAAAATCCAGCCAACTATGCCAGATTCTGTTCTCACACAACTCAACAAATACATTGGAGACTTCAGTGCAGATCATCAATCATTTATTATCATATGTGTGCAGGGAGTTAATCTTATCAGCATATTGCAACTCAGCAAGAATACAGACATCTCCAAGCTTTATTAGAAATATTACAAGAATACAAATTCAATTCCTGCAGTGCATCGTTGAGGTGCTTCATACAATTAATTATTGTCCCACAGAATACACAGCCATTGTTCATATTTCCGGTTGATAGTGTAGCTCATACTCTCACCTGAATTCCTAGCTTAGACTGACCGTATATTTCATTCGTTATCCTGCCTTTGTACATCTGTGGTTCCCATTTGCTTTTACTACTACTGATAATATAACTGAAAATTTTAACCCTTACCGAACTAAACTGATTCAAATTCTTCACCAGATTTTGAAGATCCATTTAACAGGATCTTGATAGATTGTGTAGGACCCCTTCTTAAAATCAGATGCGAGAATGAGTATCTTTTAGGAACGTCAATGTGATACTATAATCCATGCTGAGCGTAACATGATCCAGATCAGCGTGCATTTCCAGCAGCCACCGAGCATTCTGTTAGACCTGGGTCTCCAAGGAGGCTGCCATGCTTTCCATGGAGCCAGCCAGGCACTTGCATGCTGGAGCCACCACACTAGTGAGAATATTGAAGGAGTCCTCCATCTTTCATTCCAATCTGGCAGTGGCAAGGCCACACATCTTAATGAACACATGATCCATGTAAATTATAGATCTAGCTTGCAAAATTCATGAGCTGAGAAGACCCTAATTATGTGAGATGACTTGCTCCAGAGTTCACTCCATGAAACTTGCTCACTGCCACTCTAATTTCTAATGGGAAAATCTTGGCCGTGGCTTTCATTCTTTTATTCCAGGTACAGTGTTCCTTGTTTTTTTCCAGTGTGGTACTCCTTATTTTAAGTTCAGTGTTCATTGTTTTTAGATATAGTCTTCATTACTTTATTCAAAATGTTGTGCTCATTGTTTTATTTCAGGATCGGTCTCTGTTGCTTTGATCTCTGCAAAGTTTTTTTTTAATTTGCACGTGGGTGTTGCTGGCAGGGCCAGCATTTATTGCCCATCCTTAATTGTCATTGAGATGGTGATGCTGAGCTGCCTTCTTGATCCCGCAATGCTATTAGGGAACGAATTCTTGGATTTTGACCCAGTGACAACAAAGGAACAACATTATATTTCCAAGTGTAGATGACGAGTGTCTTGGAGGGGAGTTTGCAGGTGGTGGTGTTTCTATGTATCTGCTGTCATTGTCCTTCTAAGTGGTCAAGGTCATGGGGTTGGAGGGTGCTATCTTAGGATCTTTGTTGTATTTCTGCAGTGCATCTTGTAGATATACACGCTGCTAATGAGCAGCAGTGGTGGAAGAAGTGGATGTTTGTGAGTGTGATATCAATCAAGCAGGCTGTGTGGTCCTGGGTGATGTCAAGCTTCTTGAATGTTGTTGAAGTTACACTCATCCAGCCAATGTGAAGCATTCCATCGCAAGAGTATTATTCAGTGTTGTATTCTAGGCATAACAGTCATTGATTTATTCTAGGCACACAGACTCCATTGCTTTATTGTAAATGTAGTATTTTCATTGTTTTATTTTCAGTATAGCCTTTTATTATTAGTAGTGGAGTAGTAGATGCTACATCAGAGTGTTTTAATCTTTTATACCATTAGTGATGTTATTATCCACGATTGTTTTTTCACAGGATTCCCTGGTGAGAAAGGTGAGAAAGGTGATAGAGGAGTAGGTTCCCCTGGAATGCAAGGCCTACCAGGACCATCAGGTACTGTAAAATGTTACAGTATATTTCGTTTTCATTATTGAACATTGAATACAAAGAACACATAACAGCATTTTAAAGCATTAATGGTCAGATTAAAAAATACAGTGAAGACTTGTAAGTAGAACTCATTTTCTTATCAACACAAGTTTTCAGTGGAATTTTTAAATGATTTGGGAAGTGGGAGTAAATGAACACAAGTTATTCATTCCTGATGTTTCTTTTAACTTGGGCTCAAATGTCTTGTGTAAAACCAGCCATACAGTCAAATGAGACAACTGACCTCCCAATTTATCATTGTTCTTATTATACATTTTAAAAGTTAATTTATCAATATTTGTATTTAGTAAAAAAATTAAATTTTAAAGCTATAATGTTTTAATTGTTTTACGTCCTGGTGAGCCCGATTCTACAAAACCATACTACAGCCTTTACATTGGTTTTATTTGGAAGCTGTGATTGACTTAAATCCTAAACAAAAACAAAGAAATCTAAGACAAAAACCTGAGACATTGAGATTGCTTTCGTTCCACAGCTGCTGCCAGACCTGCTGAGTTTCTCCAGCAATTTCTGTTTTTGTTTTATTTAAAGCCATTTTACTTAAGGTTGTGATTTTCAGGAACACAACACTAACCTTAAGTGAAGACTTACTATCATTTTTAAATGTAGTAAATATTGCAAGACTATCAGTGCAATTAAAATTGAGTGTGTGGAAGATGCCAGACCTGGAGGAGCAAGAGGTTTCAGAGGATTATGTAGCTGGAGAATCATACAGAGATCAGGAGGGATGATATCTTGCAGGTATTTGAAAAAAAGACTGGGAGTTTTAAAATAGTGGTGCTGCTCAACCAGGATTCAATATGTCAGTGAGTATTGATGAGTGCAGTTTAGGATGTGAGCATCAAAAGATGGAATCTTAGAGCTTTCGAGACAGGAAGAAGGGAATTTGGAAAAGTTGCATTTTGATTCCACGTGTGAACAATCTTGCTAGAGGTAGGGACTGACCACCACTGGCTACTTTCCCAGGAGCTGCAAATAACTGGTTAAGATCAATTAAAAACCTACTTGAAACAAATTGGCAGGAGATGCCAATAGGCAGCCTCCAAAAGGCAAGCCAGAAGAACTAGAGACAACAAGGTGCAGGGCTGGATGAACACAGCAGGCCAAGCAGCATCATAGGAGCAGAGAGGCTGACGTTTCGGGCCTAGACCCTTCATCAGAAAAGGGGGAGAGGAAGGGGGTTCTGAAATAAATAGGGAGAGAGTGGGAGGCGGATAGAAGAGGGATAGACGAGAGGATAGGTGGAGAGGAAGGTGGGTGGGAGGAGGAGTATTCTAGGTAGCTGTGGGAGTCGGTGGGCTTGAAATGAATATCGGTTTCTAGGTGGTTGCCCGATATGGAGACAGAGAGGTCCAGGAAGGGGAGAGAGGTGTTAGAGATGGTCCAGGTAAACTTAAGATTGGGGTGGAAGGTGTTAGTGAAGTGGATAAACTGTTCGAGCTCCTCGTGGGAGCAAGAGGCGGCGCCGATACAGTCATCAATGTAACGGAGGAAGAGGTGGGGTTTAGGGCCGGTGTAGGTACGGAAGAGGGATTGTTCACAGAGAGGTCCAGGAAGGGGAGAGAGGGCCGACTCCCACAGCTACCTAGAATACTCCGCCTCCCACCCACCTTCCTGCAAAAATGCTATCCCCTATTCCCAATTCCTTCGCCTCCGCCGCATCTGCTCCCAGGATGAGGCATTCCACTCCCGTACATCTCAGTTGTCCTCGTTTTTCAAGGACCGTAACTTCCCCGCCTCGGTGGTCGAGAACGCCCTCAACCGTGTCTCCCACATCTCCCGCACCTCATCCCTCACACCCCGTCCACGCAATAAGAACCAAAAAAGAATCCCCCTCGTCCTCACGTACCACCCCACCAACCTCCGGATCCAACGCATCATCCTCCGACACTTCCGCCATCTGCAATCCGACCCCACCACCAAAGACATCTTTCCCTCCCCACCCTTATCTGCTTTCCGGAGGGACCACTCTCTCCGTGACTCCCTTGTCCGCTCCACACTCCCCTCCAGCTCCACCACACCCGGCACTTTTCCCTGCAACCGCAGGAAGTGCTACACCTGCCCCCATACCTCCTCCCTCACCCCCATCCCAGGCCCCAAGAAGACTTTCCACATCAAGCAGATGTTCACCTGCACATCTGCCAATGTGGTATACTGCATCCGCTGTACCCGGTGTGGCTTTCTCTACATCAGGGAAACCAAGCGGAGGCTCGGGGACCGCTTTGCAGAACACCTACGCTCGGTTCGCAATAAACAACTGCACCTCCCAGTCGCGAACCATTTCAACTCCCCCTCCCATTCCTCAGACGACATGTCCATCCTGGGCCTCCTGCAGTGCCACAACGATGCCACCCGAAGGTTGCAGGAACAGCAACTCATATTCCGCTTGGGAACCCTGCAGCCCAATGGTATCAATGTGGATTTCACAAGTTTCAAAATCTCCCCTCCCCCCACCGCATCCCAAAACCAGTCCAACTCGTCCCTGCCTCCCTAACCTGTTCTTCCTCCCACCTATCCCCTCCTCCCACCTCAAGCCGTACCTCCATCTCCTACCGACCAACCTCATCCCGCCCCCTTGACCTGTCCGTCCTCCCTGGACTGACCTATCCCCTTCCTAACTCCCCACCTACACTCACCTTTACTGGCTCCATCCCCGCCTCTTCGACCTGTTTGTTTCCTCTCCTCTGTCCCTCTTCTATCCGCCTCCCACTCTCTCCCTATTTATTTCAGAACCCCCTTCCCCTCCCCCTTTTCTGATGAAGGGTCTAGGCCTGAAACGTCAGCCTCTCTGCTCCTATGATGCTGCTTGGCCTGCTGTGTTCATCCAGCCCTGCACCTTGTTGACTCGGATTCTCCAGCATCTGCAGTTCCTACTATCCCAGAAGAACTAGAGAAGCTTCCTTTAAATTTTACCTTATCCTCATCCCAGCTCCTGAGCCACAGCTGCTAGAAATATATATATCGTGTTATAATCCAATAGGGTCTGACCCAGTTTCAAATCCCACCAAGCTATAGAGAGTGGGCAAGTGGTGGATGATTGGTTCATGATTTTGACAGCCGTTTGTGGTGTCTCCTCCGAGTAATGTCCCTACATTGGAGCCAAGAGGCTTGGATTCAAGTCCCACCCGCTCCAGAGGTGTGTAATAATGTCTCTGAATAGGTTGATTAGAAAATATCTCTGAAAGGATCTGCCTGAGACCAAATAAAACTAGGGGTCAGGTGATGGTGATGTGTTAATTGAGAGGTAATTGTGCAAGCACCTGACTGGCTGTTTGTCTATAAAAATAAATAATATATACTATATAGGAGGAACAAGTAATCAATTTATTGGGAATTTGTGGACTGAGGAGTGTAAATAAAGCTCTGACCAGAAATGTATATGACCAGAGGAGATAGCAAGAACTGCAGATGCTGGAAGTCAGAGTCGATACAGTGTGGAGCTGGAGGAACACAGCAGGTCAGGCAGCATCAGACAAGCAGGAAAGTCTGCATTCTGGGTCAGGACTGGGGAGGGGTAAGGAGCTCAGAAATAAATAGAGGGAGGGGGATAGGGCTAGGGGAAGGTAGGTGGGGTGGTGATAGGTGGGTGCAGATCATGGAGACTGGTCAATGGGAAGGGTAGGGCAGATAGGTGAAAAGGAAGATGGACAGGTTGTGTCAGGTCAGGGAGGCAAGGATGAGAGGGATGGCTGGACATGGGATGAGGCCAGGGGTGCAGAGATTTTGAAGCTAGTGAATTCTATGTTGAGGCCATTGGGCTGTAAGCTCCTGAGGCGGAATATAAGGTATTGTCCTCCAATTTTCGTGTGGCCTCATTGTGACATTGGAGGATGCCCAGGATGGATATGTCGCCAAGGGAGCGGGAGGGGGAGTTGAAATGGCTGGCAACCGGGAGGTGGTGTTGATTGGAGCATTTAGAGCGCAGATGCTCCGCAAATCGGTCACTAAGTCTGCGCTTTGTCTCTCCGATGTAGAGGAGACCACATCGGGGGCAACTAATGCAGTTTGCCAGGTTAGAAGACATACAGGTGAATCCCCGTTGTATACAGAATGATTGATTGTTTAGGGCCTTAGATGGAGATGAGAGGGGAGGCATAGGGGCAGGTGTATCACTTCCTGCGGTTGCAGGGAAATGTACCAGGTGTGGTGGAGTTGGTGGGGAGTGTGGAGCGGACGAGGGAGGTGCAGAGAACGTGGTCCCTATGGAAAGCAGACAGGGGTGGGGAGGGGAATATTTCATTGGTGATGGGGTCTGATTGCAGGTGGCGAAAACGGTGGAGGATGATGTGTTAGATTCGGACGTTGGTCGGGTGGTATGTGAGGACCAGGGGGATTCTATCCTTGTTGTTGAGGGGAGGGGGCAGAAGTGTGAGAAATGCAGGAGATGCAGTTGAGACCACATACTGTCTAACCAGTATTTTACCTCTGTTATTTAACAAATTGCTATAGCTGCAGGACATACTGACAATAACACCCCAGCAACAATGTGTAACTATACTTATATCATCTCTTGAAGCCTTAAGAGAGCACCTCTATCTTGTGGTGCACTCACACAGTCTCCATGCTACATCAACAGTGCACATCTCACTTAGTGCGACTACCTATTCAAAGCCTTGAACACCCTAATTGATCCTCCAACCACTTCAGCCTACCCAAAGCTCTGAATTGGATGCGACTCCTGAAACACATAAATAAGTATATTAATTGGCTGCCTCTGGGATGGTCATGCAGGAGACAGGACTCTTTCAGGGTCAGGATCCACAAATTGTTTTAAATAGAGGTTGGAACTATATCAATAATGTTCCGAGTTTTGGATATACCTAAGTTTATGGAAGGTAGAAGGTACAAGGTTATTCAGGAGAGCACTGGAATAGACCAGACTAAAAAACCCATAGTTGAGAGTTTCCGTAATAAAGTGCACATGTTGGCCTTGAAAAACATTG